GTGTATCTATATTAACGATTTTGAGAACAACGCAAGAAAATAAAATTTTAAAGTGTCCTTCTTTGTTCTTCGTTATGTTTTTTTTTAGGCCTCGGATAAAGGCAACTTCCGGTCTTAGGCTGTTTTCTAAATCCGGTTAAATTAAATGGCTCTCTACATCACTATTGCTAATTTTTTTGTTTATATCTCGTAGGAGGATTGACAGGCTCTGCTATTGTGGGAAATGATGTTAGCTACTTAACATATTTGAGCACTTTTCTCAAACCAGTCTCGAGCAAATCGTCACAATGGAGGCGCTGTTGGCGTGCGTCCGTGGACGGCTGGGCTGCCAGTACTTTTCATGGCCGATGCGACCATAAAGGACCAACTGTCACAATAATAAGAGTCGGGGGGAAGTACATATTTGGAGGCTATACCAGCCGCTCTTGGGGTAAGTGGAAGGATTTTCTAAACCTGAGCGTGATAGCATGTAAAATTGTGTAAGGAAGAATTTGTAATGAATATTTTTTTTAGCATATACACACTCAGTGATCTTGGTGATTTAAGCAATCTGATTGGTTCGCTATCTCGGACTATTTAACAATTATTCCACGAGGGCACGTTGGATATGAGATGATAGATAGCCCACGAGGCGCATAGCGCCGAGTTGGCTATAATTATTTCATATCCAACAAGCCCGAGTGGAATAATTGTTTTATTAAAAACGCCCACAAAATCTCGTTGAATCGCCCCGACTAGACCAAACCGGAAAAGACAAGGGACTTCCGCTATTCACATGTCACGCGTCTATCAAAACTGTCAACGCGCGAACGGACTCGCCTAGACTGCATGAATGAAAAATCAAAACATTGTAGCGATGAACATTAGTTTTTTAAAAAATCATAGTGATTCTAGGATTTTACACAGCAGAACAGCTGAAAAAACCTGGCAGATAATGTGAAGGAAAGGAATTTTTAAGTGACAGCCGTCAAAATTACTATGAATTTGGATTTTCGGTGCAGTTATAAAAGTAAGAACAACGGAGAAAAACTACTGGTATTACCTCGATCGCTTGTTATGAAGTTGTTTCAAGCCACAAGCTGGTTTTGCTGAACGAGAAAAGAAGCTATACTGCCGCCTCGATTGCTCTAGTGAATGGCTGCATAGCCTGTATTTGTAGCTCGTTACTTGTGATTTATATTCTTGCTGTCGGATAAACAAGCTGCAGTTATCTATTGGCGAGTGACTCGATCGGCGAATGGCTTCGCGATCATGAAGAAACAACACTTGTCTTCTTTCGTAGCTGGTCAAGGTACTTTAGTTCCATGTGTTTTCATGTGTTTTTCGACAAACTTTCAAACAAGCTCTTGTGGCTTTTTTGTTTGTTTTTGTCTTTTTTCTTTCGTTGAAATTGCATTTCTAGTATTCTAAGAAATGAATTAAAACGATTTGCTTCGGGCGCCGTTCTATCCTTCGCGAAAAAAAATCTCAGCTAGCTTCCAATTTTAAACTGACGCGTACACCGACCATATATGGAGAACATGGTATATTAGCTCATATACCATAACGGCTAAGCCAATCAAAATGCTAGAATTGCATTATCCAATGATTCAGTTTTTAATAATCGACAATATTCACCTCCTAGCGAGTGGATAATGTGCGAGCTCGGTTTTTTCCCATTTTCTTAGAGAAAGATCTTTTAAAAGTCGACAAAATCCTAGGGTTGACTTTTTTTCAGGCAAGAAAAGACTTCGAAGGATTCAAAACGGCGTTTTTCCATTTACTGTTGTTGAGTTTTGCGGCGGGGCTAAAGTGCAGGTCACAGGTCACAGGTCAGGTCACAGGTTACAGGCCACAGGTCACAGGTCAGGTTACAGGCCACAGGTCACAGGTCACAGGCCACAGGTCAGGTCACAGGTCACACAAAAAAACAAAAAGGACACTGGACAAAACTGTTCTGGACTGACGTTTTACTATACAAAAATAAAATAAGCCAAGGACCCTTGATGATATTTTTGTCCTTTAAACAATATTAAATTCCACACATGAAATAATATTTTCATGCCGATCATACGGCATATCCAAACTTCGTAACGAAATCACAAAGGTGTGCAAAATCATTTTGCATGAAAAACAAATCACATGTTTTTCACTGAAAACGAAGTGTTGTCGTGTTATTGGAATGTCATCTCCAAATAAACCTTGCAGCCAAGATAACTTCGAGCGAGTCATTGAAATGCAGCACTGTAATCCTTTGATACATCAGCAGTTTATAGAGTCAAAGATTCAAGTTGTAATGGCGGAATGCTCCCAACTAAGGGAGCATTCATAATTTATCTAGAGGGTGGGCTATGATGATTTCCTTATTTTTTCTTTTCATTTTTTTGAAGCCCCCCCTGATCATCTCAGGGTTTTTTTTTCTGACCCCCCCTCAAGAGATGTTGATTTATCAAAGGAAAAAATTATAGCCCCCCCCCCCCTCCCTCCCCCAGCACATAAGTACAACATGTCAAACTCACCC